GAAACTGCTTATGAAATGTCAGTATTAATCTTGAAGTTACTGTCACAGTAGAACTGTCACAGTAGAAACAGGCCAAACTACTTAGAATCAAAGACAACCCTTGTATGTTCATTTCATGAGTCATTTTTATACACATTGCTGTGAGGAGGATTTTTTTTTGTAGCTTTGTTTATATTTTAGGCTTTCATATTTTATTACTTCAAAATTGTGATTTATCTTGCAAAAAGAAAAAATGGTAAAAAGTTATCTGTAAATTTTTTTTTTATATGTCTTAACATACATTTTCTTGAGCTGAATTTGCTTTCCTGTTGGCTTTGTTTGGAATTTTTGAGATGCCACATACCTTAGCTGTGTATGTGAGTGCATTCTCAGAGTGAGTGTGCATTCTTAAATCTGAACTTAAATGCTGTGACAGTCATAGCCTGATACAGAGTGATCAGGAGCAAGTAACTGAATTAAGTATCTGTAGTACAAAAAATTTTCAATGATGAATCAACAAAACCCTAATGTTTTAAAACATTACTGTTGTTTATAAAACCATTTTGAGATTTTTTAATCCTCCTTTGCTCCCTCTCTTTGTTTTTTAAGTAGAGAAATTACATTTATGGCTTTCAAAGTAGTCAGTATTGATTTTGTTTTCCACACCCTCTGGATGGGACAACCTTGTAACCCCCAAGAAAAACAGATCTTCCTAAGGTTTTTGGGCACTTTTCGTGTATTAATACCAGGTGCATACAGGTACCATAGAGCATATTAAAATGTTAAAAAAGTGTAACATTTTTATAAACCCTTGTTTTTCTTGTGCAAGTGATAAAAATGGTATTACCAAAAGTAATAAAAAGTAATATAAAGTCTGTATAATCAGTAACTTTTCCATCATCTGAGTACATTTACATTATTTATATAAAGCTATAACCAATCCTGCTCTAAGATTCCACATTTACAAAAGCTGTTGAAAGAGTATGAGCTTCTGAGGCCAGTGTGACAGAAGCAAGTCTTGTTGTAGCTAAATTGAGAGAACAATTAATCAGGTTCTGTTAGAGCTTTGCTTTTATTTTATTTGGCTGCTTCTTCTAATTATGTTTTTAAAAATAAACTACAACTTCAACCCACAATTAAAAACCAAAATAATAAACTTTTCCATGCTTTTACATCTGTGTTGAATACATTTGGAAGACTAGTGATAAAATCTGAGTAGTTGCAATACAAGCATTAGAGTTTCTATTAATTTTTAGTGTTGCATCACACTATAGTCCCACTCCTCTTAAAATACATAAGATAGTTGAGCATAATTTTTGAAGTTGCATTCTGAAAATTAGGTTTGCTTTAAAAAATAAACAAAAATCGGTTTTGTACTGCAAAAGCTTTCTTTAATATAAAATTCTGTGGCAACTCAGGAAAAGAGATCATGTAACTTCATAGGGGGAATACATTTTTCTGGTACTGCTGCTTTGCCGTACTGCATGTTCTTTTAGATTGGCATAAAAATGTATTATAAACTAGCTTTAAAAGTTGGAGGAGAAAAAGAAGAGGAATTGGTTATCTTGTAGATTTTTTTCACTCTTTTAATTTGAACAGTAACACTTTAAGCAGAAGTGATTTTGTAAGTTGAGGTAAAAACAGTCCTGTTAGGCAACTCTGTGATAGTTGTGTTTGTGTTTCAGGCAAGGGAGAAGATAGTGATGTCCTCAGCATAAATGCAGATGCATATGATAGTGATATAGAAGGCCCATGCAATGAAGAGGATGGCCCAGATGTGCAAGAGAGCACTGTCAGAAGTGGAGCTGGTCAGATAGATGACCTTCAGAAGGACATTGAGAAGAGTGTGAATGAGATACTGGGGCTGGCAGAGTCCAGCCCGAAGGAGCCCAAGGCAGCAACTTCAGCTGTTCCTCCATCAGAAGATGTTCAGCCATCAGCACAACAGCTGGAGCTTCTGGAACTCGAGATGAGAGCCAGAGCTATTAAGGCTCTGATGAAAGCTGGTGATGTAAAAAAACATCCCTGAGACTGTTCAGCTTTCGTTTTCACTGTATGTTTTGAAGAAGGTGATGTCTGTTTCTCTTCAGTGCTATAGTATGTTTGGGTTGGGTATGACATTCCTCATTCAGACTGTGCTGTGTATACTGACCTGTGGTCCAGTGGTTTTGTTGCCTTCAGTGTGCTGCTTCCATGACATGCACAGACATGCTGATGTTCCCCTGAGATGGTGTCCTTGTGCTGGGTCACCTCCTTAAGGAGTCACAATACATACAGAGCTGTGCCAGGAACCTGGTCCTTCCAAAAAGGTTGTTGTAGAAACTTAGAATCATAGAATGGTTGCAGTTGGAAGGGATTTGAGACTGCTTAATTCTTCTTGGGGCCCATCTCATCATAATGTAGGTATTCTAATTAAAATGTGATGATTTGCTTAAAAGCATACTCATTTTTTAAAAATTGAATTCATAAAAGGAACAATTTTTAACTTATAAATAAACAGTTGAACATGTTATTTTCAGAGCTATGAAAGTGCCTGAAAGAGACAGAGCAGAGTTTACACTGCCATGTAGTTTTGTCCACTCTTATCTTTTGTATTGTAACTGAAGAAAGCAGAGTTTCTTCCTAACTGTAAAGCTTTTCTTTTGAATATTTGGTACAATATTTAGCAAATCAGACCATTCAGAAGACCTTGAACTTTTAGCATTCAGCTGATGAATTGTTTCATGTCCCCTGAAAGTAGAAAAATCCACCTAATTTCAGTATGCTTTTTTAGAAAAGGCATTTGATTTATGAGGTTTTAAAATATAAATTCTATTTTTATCCACTTCATGGCATTCCTTTAGAAATAAATTGAATTTTAGAATTAATTTTCATGCTATAATATCTTACAACAATTAAAGTAATTTTAATTTTTTTTAGAATTAGTGCTGTTTTTATATCTGGCTGCTAATCAAAGCATGTTAAAATATTTGTGTGTTTGTTTACACATGCAGATACCAATTTTTTTCTTTAAAGGTATGAAGTTTACAATTATAGTCTTTGTTAAGTAAAATAATGTATTATGTATTTTTTTTCATGAATTTTCCTTGGTAGTTACTTAGAAAACTGGTTACATACTTTGCAACAGTAGCAGAGATAATTTCCCCTACGATTGTGTAGTATTACTGCAAACTTTAGTCTATTCAGATATTATGTCTTGAATTCTTTTAAGGTTTATAGTTTTCTTTTTATTCTTCCATTTTATCCCTTTTCTTCTCTTTATTCCCTTTCTTTTTTCCTATTTCCTTTTAAACCCTTTTCTGTAGCAAGCTTCTTGTATATTTCTTGAGTATGATTGATTTCTTCTAGAATCAGCATTATTGTAAAATGCTAGTGCAGTGTAAATTTGATAATAAACTAAAACTTTCATTAAATACATCTGAGAAAATTACAGTGTGCATCCACTAAGTGATGTCAGTGACCTGGGTAAAGTGTACCTAACTCTAGTGTTATCAACAGCCTCAACATTTTTTCGATTATTTTGTAGCAAATGGAGGATGTAAGTTAAAATACATACACACAATTCAAAAGGTAGATTTACTGTCTCAAAATTTGTGGGTGTTGTCTTTGATTGATTTAATTTAGCTGTTTGGTCAACTTGTGTTATATTTGAGTAGAGAGAAACTAAAGAAGTAATCAAGAAAGACATCTGGCAAAACTTATATGTGCTGATAGGCTGGTGGAGCTATGTTAGATTTCAAAGATATATTTTAGTGCTGCTGTACTTAGGTCATTAAGGCACCAAATACTTCACCTTGCCTGCTGTGGTGGAAGTGAAAAGCTTGCTTGCAAGGGCATTTCCTGTGTCACCAGGAGAAGCCATATGTATAAGGTTTATTCAGTGAAGTTGCAAAGCAACACACTTCAGTTGTTTGGCAACACAAAAACACTGCTAGAAGTAATGATAAACTAGAATGTAATTGCCTTCTACTGACTACTTTCAGGAGGTGTATGGTACTTGCTATTTTCCTTCTGGTTTCCCAGGTCACCCTTAAAATTTTTTTTTATAGCATGTTGAACTGTTAAAGGTTATTTCAAGCTCTATATAAAGTTGCAAGTGCTAACTTTAGCATGTAGTGTGACAGAGATGAAACAGGTTTACTATGCATATGACAGAGAAGATTTGTAATTGCAGACTAATTAAATTCAAAATTAAAAGATGAGAAGTATTCCAAGAAAATTCAATTAAGCTGTTTACAAAAATAAAATAAAAAAAAAATCATATGAGATACTTAATGTGATTGGTTACACAAGTGCTAATTCTTTTTTAGGATATTGTACTGTTGCTGCTTAGTTTAAAAACAAATCAGCTAAATTTCATGTGTTCTTGCATTGATTTGTATCACTGAAGAGAAAAATATTCAGTGTATTTAAAATATTTATTATATAGCTGTTTCGTTTTTCACTTTTAAATATGTCTGTGATTTTTCCTTGAAAAATAAATTTATTATTTCATTTGGAAGAAGAGGCAATTTGTATGTAGAATATATTGAATTTTTTATGAAACATTGAAATAGTGTTACTGGGCTTTGATCAAGCATTTTTTCAGGAAATAAATATTAAGCACTGGGAGTTGGTCAGCATGATCTTGATTGTATTTTGGACAGCAGCAACAATATTTTCTAAAAAGTTTTGGCTGTCCTCATGGATTTTTTGAGGAGGAGGAGGGTTGATTGGGTGTGTACCAGATAAATAACAAGGTATGACTCCAAAGAGAGCCAAAAGCATTTATCTCTGTTTGGAGGCTTTGCTGTTATAGTGATTTTATAGAGAATAATAAATAGATAGCAAGATGTCAGTTTTGAGAGGTGAATCACAAATATTTCCACAGAAATAGAATTTCCACAGAAAAGAACTAGTGTTCCCCTTGTAACACTTTTCAATATAGAATTTACTCTCAAAAGTATTTTGCCTAAGAGACTTAGTAACATAACTTTCTTTAAGCTATTTTATAAAATATGTTCTTTACTGTTTGAAATTACTATAATTGTTAATTGTAGTAAATGAAATTTTGATCACAGGTAACTACAGGTTGTTTCTAAGTGTATTTGAAAAAACGGAGTCGGATAATCTGTGTAGGGGATATAAGATGCTGCTGTTCTAACTGGATACTGTTGAAACGCCGCCTGAAACATGAGCAGTTCAGCACTGCATTGTGAGTCTTGCCAAAAGAGTCAGCTGGATAGCACTTCACTGCGGCCTTGTCTGTGTTTAATGGAGCACAGTTTCAAAAACAGCAGCCATCTCAGGGTACCTTGTAGTGGGACAAAATGTCTTTTCACCAGCTGATACAGTACAATGTCAGCTTTAAGGTTTCTATATGGTTGCTTGGTTACTACTACTTTTTAAAAAAAATTAGTTTACAAAAGCAGTTACTGTAACTAAAGTTACTCTTTTTTCCTTCTGTGGCTAAAGCATTCTCTAAATCAAGAAAGAAGCAACTGAAAGGAAACTGAAGAAAGCAGCTCTATGCACATGAGTGCAGAGTAAATTATTATATGGCATTTTTTCTGCCTATCTTAAAATTATAAACACTGATTTAGCTTTACAAGATCACTGACGCTGGTAAATATGCCCTTTTCACAGAAGATAATTGAAGATTAATTGTGAAATAAGCCCTTTAGTCAGGAAGGGAGATGAGGTGGTTAATTGATCCAGAAACATAAGAACAGCATTACTTTAGGGCATAGGCACCAAATTAAAACCTGGTTATAAAGCCCTGCAATTTAATCCCAGTAATGTAAACCTTCATGTTTATTGCTAAGTCAATGTGCAATATATGTAAGGAAGAAAAAAAATTGTTCACCTTATTTGTGGCAAAATATAGATGTCTAAATACTTAGTTTTGTGGGGAAGGGTGTGAAATCTCATTTTTCATGGGCCTTTTTGGCATTAATATTGCCAAAATATTGCCAAATAATACATAAAAGGTGTAAAAGAAAAGATCTCCTGCTTGTAGGAAGGGTTAGCCACATACCACTTAATCAGGCTGACTGTGTAGTCAGGGAAGGAAGATCCCAAAAGTTTAAATCTAAATATTACACGCTATTGCATTATACAGCACATTTATTAAACATGAAACCCCAAACCAAAAATAACCAGAAAATGGGACATGTTCGTTTGTTCATTCATGTCATCATCATTTTTTTAAACAGTGTGTAAATGTTATTTTTTGTCTGTGGGTTCACTGATTATTGTCAATCTCAAAATTGATTTTTTGTCTTTTGTATCTAATGGTTCCACAAAGCCATGACTTGTCTAATCTAAAGCCTTGCATTCCATCTTGTGTTTCCAGATTCCAGTCAATCTTACTTTACTTAAGAATTCTCAGCTTTACTTCACTGGAATACTGTGTGCAGCTCTGCACAGCTGTATTGAAGGTGTATCTACTGGGAGTGGAACAGATGAAGGAGAAGTCTTCCAAGGTCTCCAGAAGAGCACAGGACATGAGCCACAGCTAGGAAAGAGTTTTAATCTAAGCATGTTGAACCTAGCCTTCAAGGCAGGCAGAAACAGAATACTGGGAAAGACATTTAAGCTGAGTATGAGTGCTGGTGAGGAACTATGTATTCATTTTGGTTTGCTTATTCCCAGGCTGTCTCTGGTCCCCTCCCTGCTGTTGTGCAGCTAGTGTTTATGTGGATATGTACAGAACCACATCAGGAAACTCATTCACTCATTTCATAGGGAATCCTGCCTATCTGCTTCTAACCTGGGGCACCATTCTGATTGAATTTGCTGTGTTGGCACAACAGAATGATTAATGAAAGTCCAGCTGCTGAATGATGCTGGACTATATTACATAACTGATACCCCACGTTCTTCCAGTTCTTAAGATATGAGGCATCAGAATTAAGGGCCATGACTTCATTCCATCTTTCTGAAAGCATGTAGATCTTCACTCAAAAATGCTAGATGAGCCGTTCCAAATATAAACTATCTAATCTAGTAAATTTTTTTTAAATCTAAATTCTTGATTATTGGCTGGTGCAGTTTTTCTGTGTGTAGGGTTTTGGGTTTTTTGTTGGTGTTGTTGCTTGGTTAGAGGCTTTTAGTTGAAGTCTGTAATTGTTACTACCTGTAGTCTGGTGAAAGTTAGTGCCTCCTAATTGTATGTGAATTAAACTTTTGTATTACATCCACACTAGGGGGCTGTGTTGCTTTAACAATGTCTGTTTTGAGCAGTAATGTACTAAGCAGAGCCCAAACAACTTGTAAGCAGTACTTTTCCCTACATAATAAAGTGAATGGGAGCCGAATAGTAAAGGGGGATGACTTGCAATTTAGACAAATATAGTATAGGAGCAAAGAAACTTTATTATCTGTGTGCTTTGATAAAAAATTGAAAGGTTGAAGGATGAAGTGATGCTCTTGTTGTCATGAGATGAGTGGAAAGGCTGAGACCTGGTTACTTCAGTCATGGCATGACTCCTTACACCTAGGATGCACTAACCCAGTTTGCTGGAACTGGGGACAGGTAGGTTGCTCTTCATCAATATTTAGCAACCTGTAGCATTTTTTCTTCGTAAAGGGGCATTTTCTATACAGAGCATGTCCCAGTTTCACTGCATATCCCGGTGCTTCTGCATTAGTCCCCTGTTTCTTTGACTGCACCAGTTCACATGTCGTCACTATAGGATGTAAGATTGCTTTGCTACAGATATGGCACTCCTTAAACTGTCATTTTATGAAGCAATTTGCTCTATATCCCAAATAAAATTGAGATGCATTTTTTGGTATCTTCTCCAACTTGCTTTCCAGGCCTCAGGACATTGACATAGAGGTATACTGGAGCTCAAGTGGATGCAGTATTGGAAAATAAACTGAAGTCACCTCCTGTCACTGTAAAGGTGGGTAATATCTTTTCTATCCTCAGTTTCTACTAAACCTTTTAAACATTTAACTGATCTAAAAAATTCTATTAATATATTACCTTCTTAAAATGGGTGAGAAAAGGGTATTTTAAAGAAACGGGTTTCTTATGGAATATATATTTGTATTGAAATATTGAAAAGCTGTTGCTGTTGCAAGGAAGTTAAAATAGGCAGCATTTACTATAGCAGGACCTTATTTAGGCAATATGAATTTCCTTTAAATTACTGAGCCTTACTTTTTCACATTATTTGAGAGCCCCTATCAGTGAGAGTCAGGTATCAGGATTAGACCATTCAAATATGTCTCTTCCTACCAAATATTAGCATTAGATCACATAATAGTGGAGTTTCCTTACTTGCTAAACTAATCTGCATATTCTTTTCAAAAAAATAGATGTAATATCTGCTTTGCAGTAGAGAACATGGAGAGAATTTCTGTGTTTTCATTGTTCATGAAGAATGCCTCCATACATATCTTGTCATAGTGATATTTGTCATAAGTAAATTACTCTCCTTTGGTGACACAAACTATCTACTGGGATTGGTAGATGATGGTTTTACTGAATTTCTGGTTGATGCATCTTGTGTCCTTAGCATAAGTAGTGAGGCTCTGCAGGCATCTCTGCCTGTTTTGCTGGGTAGGGTACAGCCTGGTGAATCCTGTTCCTTCTACTTTTTCTGATTTGGGATGTTGTAATAAAAACATTGTCTGCCTAACAACTGAGAATGAAGTTAACTAAGATTTTTATTGTCTCATTAAAAGAATTGCATGTCAAAAATGTAAATGCCTGAAACACTTTTCAGTGGACCATTTTTTTGCAAAAAATATATTCCTTCACTGCCACTTAACGCTAAAATTTATATTGGGAAGCCAAACAGAAGAAAAAAAGGTGAGAACAAGGAACCCCTGGGCCCCTAATTATACCTCTGCTTGCTGCAGAAGAAAGGTAGTGTTGCCAGTATTTTTCACTAAATATCAACTGTCCAAAATGAATGAATTTACCTGAAGTGAGGGCCAGTGATGAATGGCAGCCCCTGAAATTGTTGGGATATAATACATGCTTATCATTGCAAGCTGGAATCAGAGTCAGGAATTAATAGGCATTGTTTGACACAGCTGATGTGTAACCCTAGTTGGAATTGCGATTCAGACTATCCCTTTAATCTTCTAAAATGGTTTTGGGTACAGTAATTCTAATTTATTGTTACTTCAGCAATGGTACTTCCTAAGCAGATCTACAAATGTCAGTTTGGTGCCAGTTTTGGTCTTCAGACCAGAAGGTTTCACACTTACTTATTTTACCTTTTATATTTGAATTATTAATGAGAAAGTCTTTTCATGTTAATTGTAACATTAAGCAAAGAACAGAGAATCCTCTCACGAGGAACAAAAATTCTGTTCTCATCATGTCTCAAATAAAGAACACAGGAAACAAAAAGCAGGAGGAAAGATGGTACTGAACTGATTATAGTTGGTTTTATACATCTGTGATTATGTTGTGAAATGGCAGATACATTTACTACTAACATTCTAAATGACATACATGCACATACACAAAAATTAGGAACTTTTATTTCTTACTCCTTTGTAAGCAGGTGGGAGAAAATATTTGCTCTTTGCAGCTCCCTGTATTTTTATTGGTAAAATGTTGCAATCAACACTTTATCTTAATATTAATTTCTTTTTTTTGTCCTCTCTCTACCAATATTTTTAATTACTGAATAAGATTAATAATCCCCATTTAGCTGCAGAAGTTTAATAAACAAAGTTTAATTAAAACAAGAGAAGCACAATCAACCTAAAGGGTCCATCCTTAGCACTGCAGATTCTAGTAATACTTTTCTGGTTTGTTGTGTGCTTTTAAAAATTGAGAAGGGAAGAAGACTGGAAGAGAACTTTAGGTTTTTGTATTTAATTGAACTAACAGCATGTGCTGATAAGTAATAAATAACAATGACACAGTGACTAAAAAAATAGGTTTCCTCAAGCAGTGATTCATTCACTGTCTTTCATTGCTGTCAGGTTAAGTGACAGATTGTTTTTGTCAGCCTAAAGGAGAAATGTTCAGTACTCTAACAATCTTTTAATTCCTACCACAGCAGCCTTTAAAATGCATTGAATTAATATAAATAAAAATGCAGCAATTAAACAGAACTTGGGCTCTTCATTGACTTACAAATAAAATCTGCAGATCAGTTATCAAGAAAGCATATTGTGGTGATTCAGTGCACTTTGCTGGAAGAAGCATTGCTGATGATAGGCAAGGTTCTTGAACTTTTGCAGAAGAAGGATTCTTGGTATTGAATGTGGACATCAGGACATCAGAAGGAATTCTGGACACCAGGATAAGTTTCTTCACAGAAAGGTTTGTTAAAAATTGGAATGGGCTGCCCAGGGAGGTGGTGGAGTCATCATCTGTGAAGATGATCACGAAACGATTGGGCAATGGTGTCTGGGTGACAAGGTGATGATCAGTCAAAAGTTGGATGACATGATCTCAGAGGTCTTTTCCAAACTAAGTTTTCTGACTTTTCCATCACATAGTCCAACAGCAGTGTGATAGAGTAGCCTTGGAGGGATGATGCCAGAAAGAAATTATAACTTGCTCTTATAATTCAGATTGCATTTTTCATTCAGTGACAAATTATGCTTATACTCTGTAATTTTAAAAATTTGATTCCTTTCAGGTTTTTGATGTTGAAGAACCCAGCTGATCCCAAACCCATTTCATCAAAGATAATTGGGGTGGTTGCGAGCATATGCTTATAGAGGAGAGGGCAGAGCTTGTTCATATGGCAGGCTCCTTGTTGCCTGGCTTTTTCCTAGAAACCTTACCCTGACCCTTTACATGGCGAGACATGTACTGGCACCATACTGCCTGCCATGCTGCACTTAGGAAACAGAAAAATGTTAGTGGAAAAGAGGGACTTCAAATGTAGTACAGTTTTTAGATAAAATTAATCTTGCCACTTGGCTTTGTAAGTGTTACAAAAGGCAGTTTCAAATCCTGGAAGGCATCCTCAAACTTCTTTGCCAACTCTAATTTTTTTTTAAGCAGTTTTACCTTTTCCTTTGCCAAAGCTCTTCACTCACCACACAAACACCCCTAACTAAAGCACCAGCCAACATTGGTTGTAATACAAAGAGAAAGGTTTTCTAGTTATTTTCTGTGTCCTTTAAAGAAGAGTGAATCCGACCACATTGAAAACTCTGTATAATATGTTCTTAATGTCACTCTGGTATTAGGGCAAGTTCTGACTGTAGCTTCTGCTTTTAGCTCAGCACCAGACTTGCAAACAATATTGAAATTACTCATTACTTATGACATTTCTCTCGAACACCTGTGTTTTATGCCTAACAGTATTCTTGCTGCATTTTCAGCTAATCATTGCTCTTTTCTGTTGTGTTTGTACTTAAAAATAAATATTAACCATGTACAGGCTGTTATTATTGTCTGACATTTATCTAACCTTCTGATTTGCCTTTCCATCCACTTGTTATGGAACTGTAAGGCACATTTCTTCCCTGTTCAACATTGGTTTGGGTCCAGAACACAATAAAGGACTGCTCTGCCTGTGCATCAGCATTGGCCATGCTGTTATTATGCCTTGACAGCTCCTAACGGTACTGCCCAATAGTAGTACTAGTGGGACACCACCTTCTCAACACAAAGACTGTTCGTTCCTGCTCCACATAATCTTCCTTCTCCGTGTATGCTGCAAAGTTATAGACATAATGCCTGATTTGCTGGGCATGTGAATTTTTGATAACTCTACAGACCTGTCATGACAAAGACAGAATGAACTGAATTAGTGCAAGTATCTCTTTTTTCAATCTTCTGTATTATGCCAGTTTATAGTTGTCGCCTGTACAATTCCATACCTTGGTTTCCTTTTGACTTAGGTTTCTTTCCCTCCATAAGCTCTCTTCCTAGACTTTATTTTTGTCTCTTCATTACCCAATGGTTAATATATATATTTTCTAATTTTTTTGGTTAGAATAAAACCTCTGACCCACGTTTACTATTAAAAAAAAAACAAAGAGTTATTTAGGTTCTCAGAATAAAAGGATCAAATATTGTAACTGAGCTTACCTACATTCTGTTGAGACCAGAGGATTGTCACAAATCCTGACTTAATTATATTAATTTTTATAAATGTCCATACTTTTTTCTTTCTGTAGCTTTTATTCTGTCTCAGTCACTGAGAAGTTGTAACTTCTGGCAGACTGAAGAGCCCTCAGTTACCAGGTTTGTGCTTCCTAAGTCGTGTTTAAGAACAAGTGATCAATGCATCCACTAACCTGCTTCTAATAAGGTAAAAAGATTGAGATCCCTAAAACCTTCCTCTGCACTGCACCTTTTCCAGTTACTTAATTCATCCTTAATCAGGTCTTCCAGGAATCCTCTCTAACATTCTGATATCCTCTGTTTTGAGGAGTAATTGAGAACACTGAATCAGTGTACAATCCTTAAGGCCAGCAGTGACCTCAGGAGGTCTGTGCTCTACCCCCCTCCACCTGGCTCAGCCACAGAATCATACCAGGTTTCAGAGCACTGTCCCATGGGGGCTGGAAACCCTCCAAGGAGGGAGAGAGCACCACCTCCCAGGCCATACAGCCAGCTGTGGCTTCTCCTATGGAGAAAAATATTTCCCTTATCTCCAGGTTCTCTGTCCTTGTTTGGCTTTGTGCCCAGCAGGACACAGGACCTTATCCTCAGGTCTGTGCCAGGCCCCACTGTCAATGCTGCTGGGGCTCTGCCTGACTGGAACACAGCTGAACAGTGCTACTGCCTCAAGTGCATGGGAGGCATGGTGGATCCTTTCTTTTGCATATCCTGATCTCTGTGATGGACATGATAACTAGAGAGATTATTTATTAGCTCTAGCACACCTGCCAGCTAGAAAGTACATGTCCGTTCTCCACTCCTTGATAATTTGTTAGTTTTCTCCACTCAGGCATGTTCTCCTGCAGT